GTGAGTGAATGAACTATTCTATGTTGAGGATTTATGAGGTGCATATTGAGGAAGTGGTGAAGTGGTATGAAATACTGTCGAATATTGTGTCGGGTGGAAGCTTGAAGTTTATATTGAGTTTGTGGAGGAGCTTACGGGAAGCTCTGGGTACTAATTCGAAGTGGAGTTCAGCTTATCATCCGAAAACTGATAGTCAATCGGAGAGGACTATCCAGTCGCTGGAGGTTTTGCCGAGGGCTTGTATGTTGGATCAAGGTGGATCGTGGGATGGTTAATTACCGCTGATTGAGTCGTCTACAATATCAATTACCATTCTAGTATCAGAATGGCGCTGTATGGGGCCTTGTGAGATAGGAAGTGTGGGACTCTCTCGAGTGGAATGAGTCGAGCGGGAGTGTTATGCTCAGATCTGAGAATTGTGCATGAGACGGCTGAGAAGATTAAGAGGATCCAAGAAAGGATGTGCTTTGAGAATTATAATGGTAACTGGTGTTGGTCGAGCTTCAAAGTCTCGGGAACACACTCGGTGTTTTATTTATCTGTATCAGAGTGGCGCTGCGGAAGCGGGGGGGGGGGGGGGGGGGGGGGGGGGGGAAAGTAGCATGTTAGACTACTTTGCCGCTATTGCTTATGGATGGCATGATGTGTTTCATGTGTTTTCGTTGAGGGAGTACATTGAATCAGATGGATGATGTACAAGTGAGAAATAATTTGATGGTTGAGGCATTGCTAGTTCGGATTGATGAACGAGAAACAACTCTGAGGGAAAGAGATACCTTTGGTGGGAGTGGCTTGGGGAGATGCTGCAAGAGGCAGTGTGATCTAAAAATTGGAAAGCAGGATGCGAGAAGCGTATCCAGAATTGTTTCCATCAGATATTTTCGAGGACGAAAATAATTAATGTGAGGGAGAGTTGTAACGCCCATTTTAATTATTTTTAGTTTTCGGTGTTATTTTATTCGTCGTGTTTTGTGTGGGAATTGATGAAGAAATAGAAGCATAGTATTAATATTGAATAATTGATAATGATAATAATTAATAATTAATATTAATGTTGATATTATTATTATTAATATTAATATTAATATTAATATTAATATTATGAGTTTTTAATATTAATGTTGGAATTATGAAAATGAGGATTTATTATTATTGGAATTATTGGGATTATTTGTTTGGAATAAAAGAAATGAGAGTTATTTATTTGGAATTAAAAGAAATAAGATTAATATTATTATTGGAATTATTTGGATTAAGAAGTGATTTTTGGGCTATTGAGGGCATAGTTGGCAATTTGAAAAAGAATAGAGAAAGGGAAGAACACGTGAAGAGGAGGAACACGGTTCAGCCAAGAGGAGGAAGATCAAAGTCTGAAGCTTAAGCAAGAGGAGGAAGAGGACCAAGCTGCTGAAATTTTGTGGATTTTCCATCATCAAACTGCATGTTGAGGTAAGGGGGGGGGGGGATTGATCGGTTAAATGGTAAACTGCATGAATAATTGGTAGAGGGGAATTCCCTATCCCCATAGATTGATGATGAATTGATGATGATTATATGCGTTAATTCTGTTCTGCATTGTTGATTATTGTATTGAGACTGTTGCATGCGAAATTTGATGACTAGTTGGTTGATTTGGGGGTTTCCGGGTAATACGAGGTTTTATGCCGGTAGTTGGCTAATCGAGTCGAATTGAGAATTTATCGGGTAGAATTGATGTTAGACCATGCAGCTAGGTAGTATATTGTTATCTTGGCATTGTGGGAACTGATTTGGGTGGATTCGATGAAGTTCGGAGTGTGTTGTCGACTCTAAGCAGTGGCTGTATTTTTTAGAAATCGCAGACACTCGCTAGCCCATCGCTAGGCGAGTGCATAACGAGCCTTCGCTGGTAGCTCGCGTAGCGAGCCATTCCAGTGGCTGACTTCCTTTGTTCGCTAGCTCATTCGCTAGGCGAACGTTCGCTAGGAGCTCGCGTAGTGAGCAGTTGGCGAGCGTAGCAGAATTTTGTCTCCTTGGAACTGTGTGCAGCTGTTGATGCTGAGCGTGGTCGGTCTGATGTATCGTAATGATTTATGGGTGTTGAGTGTATATTGGGTGTTAGCGGGCTATGTGACCAGCGTTTAACGCATTTGACGTGATCGGTGAATTATGTGATATATATATTTGTACGCATTATATGATGCGATGGATCGGTAGGATCGGATACGCTTAATATGCGTTATGTTTGTATGTTGTGTAACAGTGGGTCAGTAGGATCAATACGCCTTACATGCATTGTGTTGATATGATGTGTGATGAATTGGATCAGTAGGATCAGACGCAATTTGTGTGCTTGATGTGTATGTGATATGTGATGGATTCGTAGGATCGATACGCCTTGTGTTCATTGTGTTGATATGTTGTGATGAGTGGATCCGTAGGATCGATACGTCTGTGCGCGTTGTGTTTATATGCTGTGGGAGGAGTGGATCAGTAGGATCGGATTGCACTTTGTGTGCTAGACGTGTATGTGATGCGTGATATATGTATGATACATGAGGTGATATGGTCAGGAGACCGTGTGTGCTGATTATGTGTGATTGTTGTGGTGTGCGTGCATTGGGGTTATGCATGGCGTGTTGTGTTATGTGCTCCCTGTGAGGAGGGTGATGGCCAGGTGTCCATGGATATTGATGATGTGCTCCCTTGGTGGAGGGTTGATGGCCAAGTGCCCATCGGTGGTGTTGAGCTCCCTGTGAGGAGGGTGATGGCCAGGTGTCCATCGATATTGATGTTGTGCTCCATGTGTGGAGGGTTGATGGCCCAGTACCCATCGGTGATGTGTGCTCCTTGGTGGAGGGTTGATGGCCCGGTGCCCATCGGTGTTGTGAGTCGGTACCGCATATCATGGGTTGTGTTGCACGTGTGCAATTGTTGCATTAATTGTATGCTGTGATTGATGATGAGACAGTAGGTCCGGATGCTATGTATATGAAATGATGTTATATGTTTCTGCCTTTTATTTCATGTACATGATTACCGCTTTATATTTGATCGTGATTTCTCACCCCTCTGTTGGTTTTGTGGTCTGTGCTTCTTCTGAAGTACAGACAATCCAGGTGGTTAGCTAGCTTGGATTATGGCGATGTCGTAGGGATTGCTCTGATACGTAACACCTGGGCTTTTGGGAGTTTTCATGTTTATTGATGATTTTGTGTGTCCCTGTGGCGTATCTTGTTGTGTTGAATATGATGATGATGTTTTGTACATTTTGGGCAGATGTCCGACTTGTTGTTGTACATATGATGATGTTGATGACGTATATATACATATTATGTGTTTATGACAAACTTCTTTTTCCGCTGCAATTGTATTGAAAATCAGTTTAGGAAATGATTTGTGGAATTTTGTTGGAAATTGTGACATCCCGTTTGTGGGAGAAACTCTGATATTTATTTATTTTAAGTGCTTTATTTTATTTTGGGAAACAGGGTGTTACATCCACAAGTGCAGTTTCATGGTTCGAAAGAAGTTGTGCATGCTAGAGTCGAAGTCAGTTCAAGCGTGCTGTCGAAATATGTTAGCTATGTGTTTAAATTAGCATGTCGAATCAGACCTTTCTTGTAAGCCTAATTGTTAAGTTAGTTTGTATCCTAAGTTAGTTTAGTAGTCTATAAATAGACTAGTTCTCTCAGAGAGAGGTTAATTGTAGGTATTCATTTGTAATCTTTGAATCCTTATTGAGAAAGTGAATAGAAAAACAGATTTATCCAATTGTTATTCTTCTTCTTTCTTCTTTTCTATCTTTTGTAAAAGCTAATAGGGTTTTTTGTGTTTGTTCAAGAAACTCAATCTTTTTCTCATATTTTGGTTTGTTCGTGACGACATCAATTCACAATAAGATTAACCGTGCTAGTGACGAGCTTGGTAGCAGCGGCCCTAATGCTTCAGATCTTGAGAAGGAACCAAAGTATGATAAGTTTAGGGTGGATGAGTTGGAGAAGAGTTATAAGTTCAAAAGGGGGTTGGAGTTTGTATCACTTGATGAATTTAAAGAAACAATTATTGAATGGTCAGTTTGGGATGAGAGAGATACAAGATTTGTGAAAAATGACAAAGTTAGAGTAAAGACAATTTGAAAGGAAAAATGTGGGCTTTTGGCATTTGTAATTAATGTTGGGTTATGTAAGACAAGTTCAATTTATGCATTTCTAACTAAACAGTTTAATTAATTTGTACTAGACAGATTGTGCAATTCTTGAAAAAACTTGATCTTATTCATTAAGATACAAGGACCGGAATAAAAAACTCACAAACATACAAGAATGGCAACAAAAAAGATACTAACATTTGATTATTACATTCAAACACTTTACATTTTCTAAATAGACACTTTTGAATGCAACTTTTAAAGAGTGCCAAATGAAGAAAAAACAATTTTTTAAAAAACACGTGTCTAATTTTTTAGAAAAACTGTCTGAGATGTTTTATATGAATGCCATATAAGTGTCCGACACTAATTTAAAGAGTGTCAAATGAAAGAAAAAATAATTCTTTAAAAAACACGTGTCTGACTTTTCCAACACATATCTTACATGTGTCATACAACTGTAAGTATATCTGACACACGTCAGACAATGCAAAACTCCTAATTCTAGAGGTGTTATTGCTTTATTAACTAATCAAACACATCTTAAATATAAACAAGCAAAATAAAACCTCAATTTAAAGTCAAATATCTATATATCATTCATTTTTGCCCCTCATATAAGTTCTACTTATGATACTACTACAACATACACAAAGTTTAACTACAAAAACCAAAAAGGATTGCAATGTCCACGAGTAAATTTCACTAGTCCGATAACTATTAAATACACCGTTTGTCGACCAGATTTTGAACCCTGCATAAATAGTTAATTCAATACAAACCTATCAAAGTATATAAATATACAATAGTCTATCTTAAAAGCCACACCCAACCATCTACCAGTTTCTCATATAGGTTCATAGCCCCCAACATGAAAACATCAACAGCTACCTTATGCACTTTTGTTTCTCTCTTTATTATTCTCATCTTCTTCCTCTCTCCATCTCTAGCTTCCATCATTTCCTCCCAAAACACCACATGCAACATCACACCCTACCCATCATTCTGCGCAACCACTCTACCTTCTGATTATTTATCCATTCAAAACCAAACCCTTTTCTTCCTTCAACAATCCTTATCACTAACCAAAACCATTCTTCAACTAACCTCATTTTATCTTAACCAATCCACCATTCCATTTTCCACTTTACTTGTCCTTCAAGATTGTCTTAATCTTGCTGAACTAAACACTGATCTCTTATCCACTGTCATAGAAACCATTATTAATAGTATTAATAATGGTAATATTAATATATTTAGTAATCAAGTTTATGATTTACAAACCTTGCTTAGTGCTGTTATAACTAATCATCAAACATGTTTAGATGGTTTTCTAGATGTAAATCCTTATCCCAAAATTAGAACTACCTTATCAAATCCTCTCACTGATGGGATCAAACTTTATAGCATATCTCTTGCTCTTTTCACTCATGGTTGGATTAGGATTGATGTTAGAAGTTCATCAATAGAGAATACTATTACAATGAATAACAGAAAGTTATTACAAACAAGTGTTGACAATGTAATGGTGACACAAAAAGTGGTTGTTAACCCTGATGGATCTGGAGATTTTGTCACCATAAACGATGCTGTGGATGCTGCACCTAATAAAACAGGCACCAACAATGGGTACCATGTGATTTATGTTGTTGCCGGGATTTACAGTGAGTATGTTTCTATTGCTAAGAATAAAGAGAATCTAATGATCGTCGGAGATGGAATCGATCGGACTGTCATCACTGGAAATCGTAGCGTGGTTGATGGTTGGACCACTTTCCAATCTGCAACTTTTGGTAAGAAATTTACTAAATAACACGCAATAAGGCACATTGAATATTTTGTGTTCATTGAATAATGATAACCATATATGTTTGTGCAGCTGTAGTTGGAAAAGGATTTGTTGCGGTGAACATGACATTTCGCAACACGGCAGGATCCATCAAGCATCAAGCAGTTGCAGTGAGAAACGGGGCAGACATGTCAGTTTTCTACAATTGTAGCTTCGAAGGTTACCAAGACACATTATACGCGCATTCCCTTCGACAATTCTACAAAAACTGCGACATTTACGGAACAGTTGATTTCATATTCGGAAACGCAGCAGCAGTATTCCAAAACTGTAACATGTATCCAAGACTTCCAATGCAAAATCAATTCAATGCAATTACAGCACAAGGAAGAACGGATCCTAACCAAAACACGGGGTTTTCAATATGGAACTGTTACATTGTAGCAGCTAGTGAATTAGGTGGTGTGAATAGTAATTATAATGACATAAAGACATATTTGGGTAGGCCTTGGAAGGAGTATTCGAGGACAGTTTATATGCAATGTTTTATTGATGGTTTGGTTGACCCTAAAGGTTGGATTGAATGGTTAGGGGAATTTGCATTGAGTACATTGTATTATGGAGAGTTTGGTAATTGGGGAGAAGGTTCAGATACTAGTAATAGGGTGACATGGGAAGGGTACCATTTGATGGATGGAAAAGATGCTGATGAATTCACAGTTTACATGTTTATTCATGGTGACAAGTGGTTGCCTATGACTGGAGTGCCTTTCAGAGCTGGGTTTTAGTGATTGTATATTTTATTCTCTGGTTTGTTTTTCATTATCTCTTTTCACATTGCATTATTCAAGTGAAAATATTGTTACCGGTTGGAATTTAACATTTTAACTAGTTTCACATTCAATTGGAATAAGGCAAAAATGTTTTGAGGAAGGATGTCGGTGAAAACTAGGCATGGCAAAAAAAAAAAAAAATTGTCGGAACCCGCTCCGAAATTAGTGGAAAAAATCCGGTTCGAGTGGGTACGGGTGCGGAAAAAACCCAATTTTTAATTACGGGTGCGGGGAGATACTAAGACCCGCCCGCCCTCGAATAATACATTTTAGTTTAATTCTCTTATTTTACTTATTTTAATATTCATTTATTAATTATATTTTTAATTAAATTATTAATATCTTTATTGCAATTAAAATAATTAAATTAATCAAGTTAATATTCATTTACTAATTGAATTTTTTAATTAAATAAGTAATTAATTTATTAAAATAATCAATTTTTTAATTAAATTTTTAATTTTTATTACAATTAAAAAAAAATTAATTTTTTTACGGGTGGGGGCGGGGGCGGGTGTGTTACATGGAAGCGGGTGCGGGTATAGTTAAACCCACCCCCGCCCCACCCCGTTGTCATCCCTAATGAAAACAAAGGAATTAAGAGCTAATCTTTCTGTTTTGTTAATAAGCTTGTTTTTCATGAGGGCATGCATGTATGCATGTTTTTAATGAAAAAGTTGAAACAAAGCTTTTAAATATACCTTGTTTGTGAGAGATAAGGTCCATTGTTAGAGATGTTTATAAGAATCCAAAAACCACTACACATATACATCGTTTGTGATGGCAATATAGATTTTCTCCATGCTTATGATGAAGAGTTAAGGCGATACCAGGTTTCCTTGACGAAGGCCTGTGAGAAGTCTTTATAGACGACATTATGTTTTCGTTTCTTATAATAAACAGTGACAAAGAGGTAACACGAGTTAGAGTTAGATGATGATTTGAGAGACTTGGCTTATATACTAACAAAATTTAAAATAACATTCAAATTAACTCCAAATGCAGCTTAAATCAAAATTCTAACTGAATTTGAATTACATCTTAATATCATTCTTTATTCTACAATTAATACTAAAATCAACAACACTAATTTCACCCTTCAATTGGATAAAGTGTTCATTCTTGATTGTTTTGGTCAGCACATCTGCTAGCTGCTTCTAAGTGCTTCAGTGCACAACTTCACACACTCTATTTCGAACTTGGTTGCACACAAAATGGAATTTCGTATCAATGTGATTGATTCTTCCATGCAACACTGGATTCTTGGCAATGCTTATTGACTTGTTGTCAATCATCAACATCAGATCCTTACTCACCTTGATCTTTAGATCTTGCGTCAAGTTCAAAATTCACACAGCTTGACAAGCAAACAAAGCACCCGCAAAGTATTCAACTTCACAAGTTGACAATACAACAACTGATTGCTTCTTAGAACACCAAGAAATAAGACCTTCTAGATACTTAAAGAAATATCCAAAAGTATTTCTCCTGTCAACTCTGTCTCCACACCAATCAGAGTCTGAATAACATATCAACTCTGAGTTAGATTTAACATCAGAGGGGAACACAACTTCATACCTTATAGTCCCTTTAATATACCTCAGTATCCTAATAGCAACTTGGTAATGTGATCACTTTAGTTTGTTCATAAACCTACTCACCATTCCAACTACATAGCAAATGTCAGGTCTGGTATTACAGAGATATCTCAATGAGCCTACCAAATGTTTGAAAATTGTAGCATCTACATCATCGCCTTTAACATTGGAATTTTATTTGCAATTTGTTTCAGCAGGTGTGATTGCAGACTTGTAATTCATTAGCTCAAATCTCTTAAGAAGTTCAAAATCATACTTCAGCTGATGCAAGATTATATCCTTATCAGAGTACATAATCTCCACCCCTTGAAAATAAGTCATATTTCCCAAACAGTCATCTCAAACTCATTCATCAGCACCTTCTTAAATAGTTATCTCTTCTAAATAACTATGTTAGCAATATGTCATCAACATAAAGGCACACTAGAATCATATTGGTATAAGATGTATGATAAACATAAACATCTACTCCATCTCACATTTTTTGAATCCTTGAAGCTTGAAATATGAATCAATTTTCAGATTACAGGCTCTAAGATCTTAGTTCGGTCCATACAAGGTTTTATGCAGCTTGTACACCATCCCTTCTTGATTTTTTGTCACAAATCCAGGAGATTGTGACACATAAACTTCCTCTTGTAAAGAACCATTCTGAAATGCATATTTCACATCTAAATGCATCATAGGCTAATTTCTACTAGCGGCTATAGTGATCGGAAAAATAGCAAGTATACTATTTTTGTCGATTGTAGTTAAAATAAGGGTTTTATCCCCAATATCGATCTCGAGGATTGTGTAGGAAATACAAGCTCTATAATAATTCAATTGAACAAAAGGACTTAGGGTTTTGGATTTTAGTGGAAAATAATAAACTACAAAGAGAAAATAAAGTAAAAGAGTAAAATAGGTTTCTGACAGATAAGAGTGTTAGAACACAGATTGGTGTTTAATATATCTCATTATTTTGATGATAACATAAATGAAATTTTGTATTAAGTAAATATATACTCTAATTTTGTTCAAGTATTTTTGTTTCAGATATTAATTTGAATACTCTTGTGAAAGAAAAAATACATCTGAACGTTATTCTACACAAGGCTCTGAAGCATCAGAAGCAACTCATCATAAGATTCTGAGCGCTGTCAGATGAGACTCTGAAGCAGAAGCTGCAGAAGACTCTAAAGCAGAAGCTGCAGAAGACTCTGAAGCAGAAGCTACAGAAGACTCTGAAGCATAGCTGAAGATTTTGTATGAAGAGTTTAAAGCATTGTTTCAGAAGACTCTGAATGTACTTAACGCTGCAAGTACATAGGCTCTGATAAACAAGTCTACTCTGATCAGATTATTCATGTTGAAGCACTATTGTTGTAACTCTGATGACATTAAATCTGATCTGAAGAACAAGAAGAACATCAGAGGATCTGATGTTATTTACGTTGAAAAGATGTTAGCTCATGAAAAGAATTGGTGATATTCTCAACGTCCTCTCCAACGACACTATTCCTTATTTGTGATAGACACAAGAATTCAGGAAAAAGACATTTGTCTGAACATTCCTTTTTTGAGAAAGGAAAAGTCATTAGAAGACAAAAGGCTACAGCTACTCTGCTACGCACAATCTTCAAGCATTGGACTTTCAGTAGTATAAAAGGACACCTTCAACATCTCTTCAAAGTTGACGAAACTATTGAAATTATTCAACAACTCCCATACAAACATTCTTACTCAAAGCTGAATAGTTTTATTCTTCGTTCTTAATATTTGTGTAAAAATCACAGTTGTGATTAAAGCTTGTTAGAAGCAACTCAAACACATTTGTTAGTTTATACTTTGTAAAAGTTCCTTAAGAAGACCAAGTTGTGGTCAGGATTTCTTGAGAAGACTAAAACAGTTGTCTTAGTGGTTAACATTGTAATCAGTTTGACTATAATGGATTATGTCCTTGTTGAGAAAGGCAATTCACCTTAGTAGGGTGGACTGGATTGGTTGAGTTCAACGAACCAGAATAAAAATACTGTGTTATTTTTTATTGCCATAATTGTTTCAAAACTCTTATTCAACCCCCCCCCCCCCCCCTTCTAAGTGTTTTTCCCACCTTCAGTTGGTATCAGAGCTCCAGCTCTGTTGTGCTATCACTTAACCGTGAAAGAGAAAAGATCCAGTTGGGAAAAGTTTTTTGATATATTTATCTTTGATACATTATGGCTGGTGAAGCTTCAACATCTAACAGATATGAAGAAAGAGATAAAATCAGCACCAAACCTCCCATGTTTGATGGTGAGAAGTTTGATTACTGGAAAGATAGAATAGAAAGCTTCTTTCTAGGATATGATGCTGACCTTTGTGATTTAGTCATTGATGGTTATGTTCACCCCACTGATGGGGATGGCAAAAAGATTGACAGAAAGTCAATGACTGGAGCTCAGAAGAAAGAATTCAGGAATCATCATAAAGAAAGAACCATTCTATTAAATGTTATATCTCATACTGAGTATGAGAAGATCACTAACAGAGAAATAACATTTGATATGTTTGAATCTTTGAAGATGACTCATGAAGGAAACTCCCAAGTAAAGGAGACCAAGGCTCTCACGCTCATCCAGAAATATGAAGCATTCAAAATGGAGGAATCTGAATCTGTAGAAGCTATGCTCTCTAGATTCCAGATTCTCACAGCTGGCTTGAAAGTTCTTGACAAAGGTTACTCCACTACTGATCATGTCAAGAAGATCATCAGAAGTTTGCCAACAAGGTGGAGACCAATGGTCACAGCTCTAAAGCTTACAAAGGATCTGAACAAGATCACGCTGGAGGAACTGATCAGCTCCTTGAGGAGTCATCAGATTAAGCTAGAAGAAGACAAACCTCAGAAGAAAGGTAAGTCTATTGCATTAAAGTCTAACAAATCTGCTAAAGCTTTGTAGGTTATTGAAGAAAGCTCTGAAGAATCTTCCTCAGATGAGGATGAATTGTCCCTGCTGTCCAGAAGGATCAACAAACTCTGGAAGCACAAACAGAAGAAGTTCAAAAACTTCAAGAAACCAGATCAACAAAGAGAGTCTTCTGGACACAGAAGATCTGGGAAGAAAGAAGTGGTCTGCTGCGAGTGTAAGGAGCCAGGGCACTACAAAAGTGATTGTCCTAAACTTCAGAAGGACAAACCAAGAAAGAAATCTGAAAAGAAGAAGAAGGTTCTAATGGCCACGTGGGATGATTCAGATGACTCTGAGTCTTCATCAGAGTCAGAAGAAGAATGTGCAAACATGGCACTAATGGCAGACGTGGAAGATAATGATGAAGGAACATCTGGATCTGAATCAGAATCAGATTCAGAAGAGGTATTTTCTAAACTCACTA